AAATTTTTAAAGATCACATATTTTACAGTTGAATTCATGAGTCAATTGAAGTTAGACTACCATGGAAGTACTGGATGGCCGTTTCGTCCTAGTTTGGGACTCCTCAGCAGTGCGCATCCGCGACCCCGCCACACAACCTATCAGTCTTGTGCGCGAACGCTTAGCCTCTGGACCACAGAGCTGGCCGGCATTCAACGGTATTAATGTCTGACTGCAACTTATGTCTTAATATATTCCGATTGATACTTGCATTTCATGTATAGACGTGAAGGTAATTATGCTCCAATTTCACTAAATCACTTCATCATTGATTTGACTAGTTTTATACATGAAAACTGAGTACAATTTGTTTAAAACGGTTTTCAGTATAAACAGGAAGTATTGGGCAATTATAAATCTATAGACTTAACTCGGATACGGGAACACGTTCGAATGTGGTTCGACAAAGGTGATAGGAAAGCAGTTAGAAGTTCCATTCATGAACATCTAATCGACTGTAATCATCCTACTGATCCACAGTTTGATTTCAAAGTCCTAAAAATAGCCGAAGCTTTTACCATCCATGAGCTTAAACCAGAACTATGTGTACAAAAGAAGTACGTCCTATTGTTATCATTACCTTGACATTATATTTCGTTATTAACCTAAGTCTGTTGTTATTGTTCACATTACGCAATCTAGTATTGTAATCTTTCTATTACATTATCATGGTTATTCCTTGTTCACATGTCCTCAGGGAACTAGTACTTTAACAAATGTTTCATATATGTACGACTGTACAGCTTGATAATAAATTCGTTGAAAAAAGATCCCTTCGCTGAACTTCGTATTTTCAATGTTTAAATGAGAATTATGTCAATTTATCAAGTAAAGCGCGATATATTTACGTGTGGTACATAAAGAATTGATTGAAGTTAATCACTGAAATATGATCCAGTTGTTCAATGTTATTGAAGCTACCACGAAACCTAAAAGTGTACACTGTTGAGGAGTATCAAAATAGAAAGAAACATTTCTTCGGTGCTTTATTCTTTTCATTGGTTGTTCACAGTTGCTAAAAATTGCACTACGATATACCATTGTGAATCCTTTATTAAATTAAATACAATAAAATCTTGTTCTGACCTGTAGCGAAATATGGACTCCTGTTTTTAGACGTTTCACCACTCTTCGAATATATCTAACATTTATTCTTAGCCTATTTAATATTGTGAGTGAACTACTAAAATGTTAAAATACTCGTACACACTTTTATTTCTGAACCTAACCTTTGCTTGAAATGTAACAGTCCAGTTCAGATTAATGTATGAGACTTCGGTTTACAATATATTATGTAAGAGCTGATAACTAACGGAAACTCTTTCAACTAATTGGAGACACCAGGACCAAAAAGTATAATGTTAATGAGGCAACTAGTAGCGTAGTCGTTAACAGTCAGAAACGCCAGACGCAGTATTTTGAAAACACAGTTTGTCTATCCTGTATCCCTAGTAACTTCGATTAAACTTTTTTCCATGGCTAGTTGATATTGATCAAAACGGCAGCTAAAAAATCTACAAAACAGACGGACCAAACTGTATACTGTCAGAATTTTTCAAAGATACTCTGCTAAGATAACTACATAGATTGTCTAGGATGTGTGAGTGTTGCATCGCTAAGGGATGATATCACTGCTATATCCAACACATTCGCAGTCTGCGAAATACATAACGAAAATGAATATCCGCCAAGATATATTAACGAGAATTTAAAGTTCAGGTCTTAAGAATTCGATAACCTGTGTGGCATATAAAATGCTTTACATGAGCATCGATTTCACAGGTGACAAAACTGAAAATATCTACAAGATGAGCATTTCCAACTCTTTCAAAGGAACATTCTTCCCATCAACCTTGAGGTTAATGTTCTGCAGTCAGTAATCTGAAGAATAAGATCCTTCACTCACCAATCCACCCGTCTCTTAGGAGCTATATATATCATTTGGTTAGCGCTCTATCCAATGCAATTCAGAAACATTATTCGGAATAGTTGGGATGACAAAGAAATAAATCAACGAGAAGCTCACCAACTGAACACCTCATGGACACGCATTATTTGATAATAACTAACTAATCGTTCAAATCACTCATTAGATGAGTAAAAACTTATGAGTAAGCTCTCGTTTCCTTTTATTACGCAAGCTTCCATCTTATATTTAGAGAAACCAGAAAAATGAATACAACTTATTCTTCTATGTTGATCTTAGCAAATTGTCTCCGAAACTCATCATCTGCCTCTCCCTTGCGCTGTCGACCTTTAAACGCCTAACCGATTTACTTGTTTGCAAATCCTGCCTGAAAACAGATCTTTTCAATCTCGACATTTTACCTTATCGCAACATATTTTCATAATTATTAATCACCATCTAATTTCTGTGACTTTCTTGATGAATCCTCAGTATCTTAACAACTGCATCTTCAGTTTACTAATAAATATGACATTTTTGTGCTTTTGTTTATTTAGCTTTTCTGTTACTAAGCTGAGTGGATCACTGTCATTAGCAGTAAAAAGATTACTGGTAACCATTATGAAAAAGTACACATTTGGGAATGCATAGCTTTGAGAATGGATTTAATGAGAAGAGAACACTCCGTCAAACCACTTTCTTGTTTTGTGTCTCAATGGGTATATCCTGTTTATTGTTATATATATGAGATGTAAGAAACTAATTCCCCACTTCATAAATGTAATAAATGCACCGATCATGTCTTCACTGTATTCTAGATGCATGGATGATATACATATTCCACGTCAAATAACGTTCGGATTTTTAACACCATTTAATTAACGACAACCAGAGGCGTAATTACGCATAATCGCTCGATCTAGATATTTCTATTTGCCATTCTATAGTCGACAATTTTGAATTACGCGGCGACGTAGATCTACTACCCAAGACACAAAGATGATATTATGTTAACGTATTAATAAACTACATCCTTGAATTGTTATTTGTAATTCTTATTGAGTACGGCATGTTTTTCGTTAACTGTATTACTTTCGTCCTATGTTGTATTATTCTTGTATTTTAGTAAAATAAATTCTATAATGTGGTATCAGGACTATACACTACACAAACAAAGATATTTCCATACACATAGTTCCACTTATCATTTTGAAAAGAGAAAGAACAAAGATTCTAGCAGGATAGCATGAATTCATTTTTATTTCGTTGGTTCTCGTCAGCTGCTTACAACCTGTGATATTTATAAATCATAATTACATAATGGGTTTAAATTACTTACATGAAAGAGTTTGGTTGGAAGTTATATAGAAGACATATTCGTATGGTATAGCAAGGGTGTAAATAAAATTAATAAACCAAATATTATCAGAAGGGGTCTTGTGGAGATTTTAGAAATTTTAGTAGTTGAAATCATGAGTTAATTGAAGTTAGACCACCATAGAAAACCTGGAAGCACTGGACGGCCGCTTCGTTCTAGTATGGGACTCCTCCCTGACAGTGCACATCCACGATCCCGTGATAGTGACTGTGGCGCAAGTTCGTGGATTGGTTGAAGTTAGACATTAACACCGTTGGATGCCGGCTCAGTGGTCTAATGTCCAAACGCTCGCGCGCGAGACTGATAGTTCCTAGGTTCGAATCTCGCGGTGTGGGATCGTGGATGCGCAATGCTGAGGAGTCCTATACTAGGACGAAACGACCGTCTAGTACTTCCAGGTTTTTCATGGTGGTCTGGCTTCAATTGACTCATGATTTCAACTACTGAAAGACTAAATATTGTAAATATATACCTTATGTGAAAGAACACTCTACAACAATGATTGTGATAACGATTCAAACGGCCAGAAACAAGTGATTACATAATGAATAAATATTGATAGGAATATAGTGAGTAGAGCCCAGTTGACGAAATAAGATTATTAATTTGGAAGATAGTTGAAATAAAACTCAATGATTTAATAAATGAGAGGAAGAGTATAAAGAAAAAGAGAAGAATTTTTAAGATGCAGCGAAGGAACATTTGTCACCAAGGCAAAGAAAGTTTATTATTTATTTATTTTAACACATAGATATTGGTACAAGGAGGCACCAAATACATATGCGCCACATAGATCTCAATTGATATGTGTGAAGGCTGTGATACTGCCCGATTGCCCAAACCGAAGCAGGTGGTCTTCTTAGGGGGCCACACCAGGAGCCTTCGACCTGAAGGTCTGATCCACAAGCAGTGGAGCAACGTAAGGAGATGCCGTCCCATGGTAGCCGGTAACCAATAATTGGTTCATACGTCATTTGTTCCTGCAGGATACTGGAGCCCATGTGCACCATTGATTTGGAATCAGAGGTTTTTAACTCCCTTAGGTGGATCCTCCATATCCACCAACCCGGTTAAAACAATAGACACTCGCTTTTCGTCCTCTCGATTTCGTAAACAACACCCTCGCCACAAGAAGGCAGTGAGTGGGAATTCCCTGGCAGATACTATATACGCGTGGCCATATGAGAGCATTTCGAGAGTGAGAGCGGACTCTCCTCACTCTCGGTCGTACCATGGCATTTGGGGGCAATCAACGAAAACATATCGGAATCGATTCAATTTATTAGCCAATCAGAAAAATGGATACATATAAAATCAAGAATAACATCAAAAAGAGATATAATCAAGATTGAGATTGACACAACAGCCTGTCAGTTGTATGTAAAGAAATTCGAATATTTCAAACTTCTACCTAAAGTTTTTGCTGATGATCTTGTTCAAAAGAACAATACAACCTCTAAGACTAAATCATCCAGTTAAGACAATAAAACTGTATCAAAAAACATGGATACTTAATTTGAAAAACTACTAATAAAAGATTTAAAACATTAAAAAGAAAATTATTTTAGAGAATCCAATCATATTAGATACAAACTATACATATAATAATGTATAAAACGTCTGGGGGAAATATGTACAGACTAGTTTGAAAATATATATAATAATTTACAATTTAAATCATTTTTCACCTTCTAATTCTAATTTCTTCGGATACCACATTGCTTCAGCTAATTTATGTTGTTCTTTAATCATTGAACGTAGATATTCACGAGCTGCGAATAGATCATCTTCACTTAATTTTTCTTTGGCTTCTTTAGAATGTAATAGTTTATTATGAGCATGATAAATTTTATCCATTTCATGAATTGTCTGATGTAATAATTCTTGTCCTATTTTGATGACATAATATTGTTTTGATCAGAAATGAAGAAAAAGAAAAAAAGGAGAAAATAAAAGAGATAAAAGAAAATACTATACTAGATGCAATTTTTTTTATCGTTTTACTGATATTTTGGTGTGAGCTACTTATATCCACATAAGTAGTATATGACGATAGTCAATCGGTTAGTCAATAACAACGTAGAAATTTGTACGTACGTATATCAGTTCGAGTTGTCATACCACATTAGCACAGAGGTGCAGTTGTCGATTCAAATCCTGTAGTGGTAGAGGAAGTAAAAGTATGAGCAGTAATCGAAAACATTAGGGTTTGTAGGTAAATTTACAAAGAGAAAAAAAGGGACATGAAGAATTCAGAAGTTTAGAATTCGGGAGGACACAAAGAGTGGATGCGCCTGCACCATTGTAAACGATTTTAAGCCATGTTAGTCAAGGTTTCTAACCATCGGTTACTATCGTCTCGCAGATCCTAATCAGGTAGTCTACACCTACCAACATGGCTTAGTCCACTTTTCAGTGACTTCAAGGATTTGTGCCATGTTTTGGTCTGGCCACCACAACCTTTCTTCCAATCTACTTCTACACCATGAAACATCGCACGTCGGGGCAGTCGTTGGTTGAGTATACGTATCAAATGCCCCAGCCATCTCAACTAATGAAGCTTCACTACTTCATCAATTGATTTCCCATCCTTATCTAGTACCCGTTTCCTAACAACTGCATTACTTACTCGTTGATCCCAGGATATATACGAGCAATTCTTCGAAAACACCTACGATCGAATACTAGTGACCGACGAATAACGATGATCAGGAATAGAATGTATTTCAGTAGAAGATCGAGAATGAAATAACGGGAACGGAAAGCAATTGGCATGAAAATGCAGGAACAATGAAATCTGAGACGATGTACTGATATTTGTTTAAGTACCGTGTTTTAAAGATACCTCATGGGCAATTAGTGAAACAACGGAATACTCCAGATGCGTGGACTACACATTTATTGTCTGTAACAATAAACAGCATGCAATCCACCTGCTAAAACTTTTCATTAACGCTTACACTAACATACATTTTACTATGGAGCACGAACAGAACGACATGTTCCACTTTCTTGATGTTGTCATAAAACGCAGGGGAGACGGGACAGTCCAACGTTCAATTTATAGAAAAAGTAATTGGAATGGTCATTACCTAAATTTCAATAGTTTTAGTTCAATTAGTTAAAAGAAGGTATTGATTAAAACACTATTTTACAGAGTAGAAAAGATATGTACCACCGACAAACTGGAAGAGGAATTATTGAACGTAGAAAAATGTCTAAAAGAAAACTTTTATCCACAAAAGTTTATTGGCAAATATAGAAAGCCCAAAGAAAACAAGACGGAAATAACTACGGTTAGTAAAAAGCCAGTATATATAAATCTTAACTTTAAAGGTGATAACGTCGCACAAATAATCAACAGGAGACTGAACGCTGCGCTAGCCAGAACTTATTCGGCTGCTAAACTTCTAATTCCCTATAAAACAACATGTTCGATAACCCAATCAAAGGTCGACAAGCATCCCTTTCATGTTACCGCCAACTGTATTTATAAATTTACGTGTACCTGCCAAAGCAGCTACATCGACCGAACTGAAAGGAGAGCATATCTTAGATTTTTTGAACATGTTCCAAAAAGTCTTAGAACAAGGGAAAGAAAGACTAAACAATGCAATCATCAAACATTTCCTTGATATAGGACATCAGGTAGATACCTTGCAATCCTTTAAGGTGATTAGTAAGCAGCCAAACTCCAGTCTTCTGAAGTTTGCTGAAGTCGTTGCCATTAGGCGTCAAAAACCTGACCTATGTATTCGAAAGGAGACGGTTGTTAATCTTTCCTTGCCCTGGTGACAAATATTTCTTCACTGCACCTTAAATTTTTTTCTTTTGTATATATTGCATCGTTGATTTTATTTATTTATTTTTCAACTATCTTTAAAAAATTAATAATCTTTCAACTGAACTCTACTCACTATATTCCTATCAATGTTTATTCCTTATGTAATCAATTGTTTCTAACCCACTTTTGAACTGTTGCCACAATTAATGTTGTAGAATATTCTTTCACATTAGGTATATTTTTACAATATTCAGTCTATTAATTTCATTTACACCCATGATATACTTTATGAATATATCTTCAATTCAACTTCCAAACAACCCCTCTCATGTAAGCAATTTAAACCCATTATGTAATTATGATTTTTAAATATCACAGGTTGTAAGCAGCTGACGAGAGCCTACGAAATAAAATGAATTCATGTTAATCTGCTAGAATCTTTGTTCTTGCTCTTTTCAAAATGTTAAATTGAGCTATGTGTATGAAATAAGCCTGATTACTTAGATCTTAATTTCATTAGCATGTGTATATGAGTGACCTACCTACAGAACATGTATCTTGAAATGATTTATGTTTTAAATGACACTACTAATCATGTTTATTCATACGATGGATATTTATTAGATACATGTGCAAGAAATATTACCAGAGATTAGAAACCTATTCTGATGTTGGTTGTTACGTTTATCGAAATCAATTTAATCAAAGATTTCGGTTGACAAATATGTCTTGTGAACAGTTATCAATCGGTCACATTGTATCGTTGCATGTCATCTGCCTTATTAGCAGTTTATCTATTTATTTTCATGATGTAAGGCCTGTTCATCATCAGAAAATTTATAACCCTTCTTAATTAGATGCACTATATGTATAATACTAATGAGTATCTGTTAATTCGTGGTATGTTTTTGATGCTTATGTTCAGTAGGTTAGTCAAAAATCCGTTCTATATTTTATTAGTTTGCGTAATTAATATTTTTCGGCCATAATTACTCATTTTATTCGCTTTTTTTATACCTTAAACGTTCGGTATTTGAAGCTGATTTTATTATGCATGTTACGATGTGGTAGAAGTGAATCGGTAATGGTTGTTTTGTCTCTACTGTTCATCCTTGATTATTCATACAAGGTCTGTGAAATAAATCTAAGTTGGGTTCCCATGGTTTCCGGTGAAACTCAAAAAAGTCAGGAAATTCATAAAATAGTGAGCGCTATTTATGAAGATAACTCAATGAAAAAAGCTCTTTCCAGATAGAACAACTGTTTGAATGAGACCCGTGAAAGATACACGAACGATGTAAAGCTAGGACCAACACCGACCTACTACGATGAAAATATTGAACGTATGCCTTCCAGTAAGCAATTAAATGGATATGTAAAGAGCGTACGCCTTTTGTGGCCCAATACCTGGCTCCAGTTATATCGTATGACGATTTCTATCGAAATATACATCCCGGCAACTTCGTATATAATTATAGACTTCAATCGTGTTAGTGAATAACGGAATTAAATAAGTCAAATACGAGAATGGAGTTCGAATACGTACATTTCGTACAATCGTTGATTCAGATTGACGATCAGAGAAACGAAGCGCATCGGAATGACGGGCAGTGGAGAAGGTAAGTGAACTAAACGGCTTTAGTAAGCATATAACGATAACATAGCTAAGAAGTTTTACTACTGGAAAAATTGAGGGACAATAAAAACGAATACAGAAAAAGTGTAGTGCTACAAACAGCGATTATTTTGACAAGGATAAGACTAGTGTACCTTAAAGCTGGTAAAATAAAGCTTTTATGACATCCGTTTGTTTACTTATCGGAGAAATTACGTACTTGTTGACTGATAAATAATCCAATATCATAATATTTTTGTTCGACGCACATACAAATAACAGTTTTAACTTTCTAATACATATTTGTAGAGGAATACTTTTTAGAAGGCTGAAAAACAGACGTTTGGGACCTTTTTAGTAACGATATCAATTAAATCGGTTAATAATAATAATTATTATTATCATAAGAAGACAAAGATGGTCAAACACTGAGTCGCTAAACATCTTCAAATCGAAGAGGCCACATTTCTAAAGAATAGAGTAAAACAGAGCCGATTGTTGAATTGCAGACACGACCTTTCACAACCAGACTAATATCACGAAGGCGCCGAAGATGGCTCTGATTGGAGTAGACCGCTCTGGCTTTCAATATACGTGAATTGATCTCATCACTCACGAAACCACCAGCACTTAAACAGATATAATGTAGGGCTTTCAAGATGCTAATAAACCTTTCAGATATACACTTCTTCAACAAACAATCCCAGAGAACAGTCCTGTCCAACGAATCCAAGGCGCCCCTGATGTCAAGAAACACTACGATTGTTGGCCTGTATTAAGTATGACGGTGTTCTAACATTCGGCGAAGGGTGAAAATATGATCAATACATCCACGAACAGGACGAAAACCAGCCTCTCCTCGTGAGTTAATCTTTCTCCAGTTTTGAACAGTCTACGGAATATGGCAGAAGTCAATTATTTGGACGCGATCGGAAATAGACTTATCCCCCGATGGTTGTTACAGAAACGACGTGAATCCTTTTTAAAGATATGGACAACTGTCGAATCACTCCATGGTGTTGGAACACTCTAGTTGCTAGACCTTTGTAAACAGATCAGTCAATTCCTTAACTAGAAGGTCGCCACCATCTTTAAAATGGGTTGGAGGTAAGTCATCTGGGCCTGGTGATTTGTGGCGCTTCATGAATTGAAATTCCTTGAGGACTTTCGCCTCGTTACGTGAATTAGCCGTCACCAGCCGTGGAGGAAAGGATAGTCTGATTGATGTCGCCGGAGTAGCAGACCAGCTTAACTGTTCCTCGAAACACTATGCCCATCGTCTAAGACGTCGGTAGATATTGATTGGCATCCTATCAACTTCACAGTTTGTTTCGCTCACAACAGACTTCTTGTTACCAGAATCTTGGATGGGTTTAGAAAGCTTCCGGCAGTCACCAGATGCACCTGCTGCTTTCAACTCGTTAACACGCTCCGATCACCAGCTTTCTAGGTCTTTACACAAGGTTTGAATAACTTCATTACGTAACAATCTTTGTTTACCGTCAAACACGTGGTCACCAAGAGAAGACCAACATGCCTCAACGAGGCCATATCAGTACTCCAAAAGGAGTAGCAGTTTCATACACAGCCATGCGGACGGCGGCTGATCGCGATATGATCAATCTGATTCTAGGTTTGGTATGTAGAGGGAGGACACCACGCAACACATCAGAGGTCACTGTCCCGATAGTTAGTGCTAACCAGAAACAGGTAGTCTGCCCAAAGCTGCAGTAAACAGTCACCGTTATCCGACCTACAACCAACAAGTCCCCATAGGCTACACAAACGACCCTCTCCTTTGCCTGGACACCCAACCTGTGCATTCAAATCTCTATTTAGTACTACAATATCTGTTGAGCAGGCTTTCTGGAGATCATTTGACTAGTGGCACGACTCATCTTTGACTGTATCCAAGTTGCAACCTGTCGGAACGTAGGTGGAGATAACGAAAATTCATCGCTACTCATACCTACTTTTTCTCACTTTGAAGGAGCTTTCTAATCTGAAAGCGTATAATCGACCGTAGATGGGGATCTAATCGATTAGTGGTGCTTCAACTGTAGCGCTTGGTTCGAAATGACAGATGGAGAGCTAATCTATAGCGCCTCATTAGTCCTGGATATGGGTCTCAGATAGACAGCAGACATCGGCGTCAGAACGTGCTGAAATATGATCAACCCTAGCTGTCGTCCGATCTGTATTTGTGCTGGAACGTTGAGGGGTGCCTGTTTGAATAGCATACGTGGTTTCAGAAAGGCTGATTGGGAATTTGTATTCGATGATGAAATTCAACTTTCGACTATCGTGACTTGAGATCTTTCAAGTTATGATTATCACTGAATCTGTGTACGGGCTAAGATACTACCCGTGTACCCAGGCCGAAGGTGGTCTGCCTAAGAGGATACTCCCGAGCCTTTGACCTAGAGATCTAATCTACAAGGGAGTGGGGCGACGCTAGGAGATGCAATTCCATCATAGCCGATCGTCAACAATAGGTTTGCACGCCATTCGTTCCCTCGGGATCCACTAGTTTGGAATTAGGGCTTCCCAACTTACTTAAATTGATCTTCCGTATCCACCAGCCCGCTTTAAGAGCCGAACATTAGCTTTTCGTCCTCTTAATTTCGTGAGCGAAACCCCCGCCGTGAGAAGGCAGAGGAGTATGACTTTTTTGGCGGTGGCTATGAACGAGTGGTCGTATGAGAGCACTTCGAGAGGCAGGGAGAGTGGACTCTCTTCACATTTGGCCGTACCAAGGCATTTGGGGACCGTTTAGTAAACGTGACTAAATAAGGTAAAAATATAATATTCAGAGTTCTCTTAACATAGTTTTTTATGTTACCTATTGATGAGTACTTTGGACACAAACTAACCTTGAAGCAGGGCTCTTTGACGAGATTCCTGGGTAATAACAGTATTTAATTGTATGGTAAATGTACATTCATTAATTGACTGAACCCTGTTTTCCCCAGAACCATCTTTACATGGATCTAAAAAGGAAATTACTGCCTTCCGAGCAGGAACAAAAAGTTCAGGTCTGCCAGTAAGATCGACGAGAAGATAGTGATTCCCTACATTTGCTCTGTTATGAGAATTGTTTGAGGTTATGTTTTGGTGCATATTATTTTGCAGGATTATATTCGCCACTTGACCAAGTTTTACATTTAGTTCAGGAAGCTATAAAATGGACAGATTACATAGAGGGAGTCAAATAGTAGCACAAAAATAGATTAGATATTTACGTGTAAAATAATCGCAAACTTGTTTATGCCATGTCTACCATGTATTAGTTTGCAGAAGAAATTAAATAGATTATTGTAATTAATTAACGAAAGCAATGAGTCTTGAAGAATTTAGTTATGACTGTTTTATAGTTAGCATCAGTTAAACAGAACTAAGTAACTGATTGTCTGTTAAATAATTTGTACATACACACTGATATAATTATCAAGAATTCAGTCTAGCAGTTCAACCACAATTTCATTACTATATTAGCGATGTACGAAACCTTCAATCTCCTATCACTTACGTTTAAAATTACTTGAATTATCTTTAATTTTATTGCATTGTACTTTAACGCACTGTTTTACCGGTCAGTTGTGATGCTGTTTTGTTATTGTTGCACTTAGAAACCTCTGCTAATAATTCGGTTAAATTAGCACTAAACAACTGAGCATTCGCATCACTGTTCATCATCAACATCAATAAGATTTCTGCATCAGTGCTGAGAATTATGTCACTAATATATTCATTTTCTGCTTACTTCATGAGGTCATTATAGTGAATGACTGTTGAATTAAGCGTTTTCATATGACAAGCTAACGGGAATATGATATAAACCCTGTTCTTCTATTAGTATACTTTATGAAAATGAGTAAAGGTTTACATTTTTCTACTTTATTAAAGAATAAGATGGAAAAATGACACCACCATATATATAGTAAACTCTTCCTACAAGTGATACCTCTGTAAATATACTATCTAATGGAAAATAAATGGGATTTAGAAATATTAAGCGAATAATATCTTATACATGTTGAATGTGGATAACAACATAATAATGTGAACAAAGCAAGAGCAAAAACGTTCGCAGAATACTATGAATTTATTGCATCCCGTCGCTTGATCAGCGACATACGAGCTGTTTCATTATTACTAATTATTAGCATAATGTTCAATTTGAAAAATGAAGCGTCAATAATGAATAGGTTGTTTGTAACGCAAACGAAAATGGGAATTCAACTTTTAACAGGCTTTTATAACTGTTTACGGTTATAACCTTAAGCTATTTAAAATATCACTACGCTATAAAAAAAATTGGGTTCCTAAAAAATATAGAATGAAAGTGAGGATGTGTAAGTTTAGCTCACTAGATTGTGACTACAAATGACTGAAAAAGAAGGGGCAAGTACATTTAATTCGCTTCTATTACCAAAACAGATGAATGCTAACCAATAACTCTTTGAGAATACAAAGGTCAAGCTTAAGCCTTATGACTGCTATAGTCCTCGAGAATCGGACTGGACTATTAACTAATCACTTTGTATACGTTCATTGCGTCAACCTTATGCCATATGTCCAGCTGCTGATGCGCTATTGAACTAAGAAGGTTATTTTGAGTTTGGAGATGTAGATTCGTTGGAATATTTTGAGCAAAACGAGTGAATGCTCACCTTTCTTTGCTTCCATGTACATGTAAAGCGATATATTTAATTGGAAGTGATATGACGGACGGTTTTCTGCTTTTGTTTATACGACTAAGCGAAGTGTGGTGTATGCACGACGTTTTCGTATAATTCTAGTGGCTGGTCGAGTCTATGTAGACTGGTGAAGCAACTTACAGTAATTAAATTGTTCCGCTCTGAAAGTGCAAACTAAGGAATATACCTTTAATCAAAAGCGACTGAGAACTAAATTGTGGGTTAATAGGTCAACATTTGTGAACATAGTAGAGTCAAATGACCGGATATCTTAAGTTAATATAAAACCATATACTTACCATAATATCGAAAAATATCTGTGGAGTCATTCTTAAACTTAAACGCTGGATTAGGGAGTTTTGAAAACGTGACAAGATATTCTGAAATTCTTTGTTCATTTTATCCTCTTTTACAAGTGATAAAACTTCTGCAGTGATATCACTTCGATCAAATTTTTTAACATTTTTCACATGTGCCCCTTTAGATTTCCAGCGTATTGTTGGGTGTAAAACCCAAATGTGTGAACATACTGGATCAAAGATGCTTCCTTTCCAAATCGACGACTGAGAAACTCTGACTAAGGAAGAGCTAACCTTTTGAAGTGACAATAGCCGATTCATGCTTATTGAAATACTTTATTCAATGCAGTCCGGAATTGTAGACGGCGAAATTTATGCAACTCGTTATAGATGAAAACCATACAAATCAATATATCGATGAGCCAACAACAGCAAACTCTGGAAAAAGTAATGAAAACGAATGTGGTAGAATGCCAAACAACAAGTAAGAATGAAGCCTTGTGAAAAACTGTAAGACTTCGTAAAACAAACTTATATCCAGCATCCAAATTGAAAACGTATAGACCAACCCAAAACTGTAATCAATCTTAGTCAACTGAGTTGATCTACTGAATGCCACTTGGTTTGCTTCACTTGCATTATTTATCCATTTGAACACAAACATTGGTACAAAGTGGCACCAGATACATATGCGCCACACAATAACAATGAGAATGTGAAGAAATAAAGTATGTAAGGTGCGTATAAGAAAAAGGAGAATAATAACGAACAGAAATTAGTGTACGATAGTGAAGTAGTAATAATGAGAGAGGCAGTTTAATTAGCAAAAGTACAGCCAGAAAGAATTCTTCTAGTTAAAGTTACGTCCTTTTTTACGAAGTAAAAAATAAAGTTAAAGCAGGATCGCCACTGGCTTCTATTCTGAGCCATGTCTCTAGCCAGTGTTGCACTATCTCTAGGACCCCAACCAGGGAGTTGTGAAGGACCGACAGAAGCCAGTCCTGTACGACTTTCATACACTGACCACCTCACCGCCTTTTTCAACCAATCCCAGCGTCGGCAAACGATGCACGACGTGGAATTCTCTGAGACGACATTCGTAGCTGTGCCCGAACACGCGATGCCGAACATCTGTATTAATAAGACGGTATTACCGCCAAATATCAAAAATCCTTCGGAGACAACGATGACCAAACACAGAGAGTCGTCTAACATCCACTCGGAGAAGCCAGGTTTCACAAGCATAGAGCAAAACTGCTCTCGCCGATGCGTTGTAGATCCGACCTTTTGCAGAAAGACCAACATCACGAAGGCGCCAGAGGTGGCTCCGATTGGCGTAGGCTCTTCTGGCTTCCATTATACGTGAATTGATCTCATCACTCACGCAACCACTAGCAGTTACACAGATACCCAGATACACGAACATCTCGACTACTTCTATCCATTCAATATCCAGAGTGAGTGAAGGTTCAGGGCCCTGCCAGTCTTGTAAAATTACTTTGCGCTTATAAGGTGCAAAGTACATACCACACCTACGGACACTAATTGCCAACTGATTAAGTGCGGACTGCACGACTTAGGTATGATCGCACAATAAGACAATATCATCCGCATACTCAAGGTCGAGAAATATTTCTCCAGGCAACAGATCCACACCGCCATTCCCTACATCAATCAGAGCTGTTTCCAGAACGTCGTCTAAAGTAAAGTTGAGGAGGAATGGTGAGATTGGGCAACCTCGGCCAACCCCACCGCTTGAATGGATTACATTACAAGATAATGATTATTCTTGAAAATAAAGGTGTAACTAAATTAAAAGGAGACATAATATAGTCTAAAGACAGGAGCTAGATTTCTCAGAATAGTTAACTCCCGAAGTGATGTGATTTTAGAAATGAGTGGTAGTGTTTAATAAGGTACACAACAAACTGAAATTTAGTGAAATACTTTGCTCTATCGTGGTATAAGGTTTGTGAGGACGAAATACTTTGATTGCAATCGCTCTGTAAGATTAAGTGTTTGTGAGATATCAACTGCTTTATATTGATACCTGGTGAATAAGCTTTCAACTAAATCAGAAATATAGAACTGAATAACTAAGAAAGCAAATGAGGATCCATTTCAACTATTATTTAGCCCCATTAATATTCTTAAGCATTACTCCACGAATAGTGAACAACTTATACCTAGTGGTTTTCTAGCGTGTAGATATGTACATGGGAAGGTTGCAGTTACTTTTAGCTACTCATCAAAGAATTTACTGAATTTTCGTACTCGTGTTCAATCGAATTAACTGGCCACCGATTCCATAAAAATGATTAAATTCATATTACTGTTCATTACGGCCACTGATATGTTGGCTTAGTGATCAAGACACTTGACTTTCAATTCTATGCTTTAGGTCCTAGCCAAGTTACTATTTAGTTTAGACAGCCTAGTGCTATAATAATCCGTCACACGAAAATATGGCCAGCTCGCCAATCTAACCCTGTGTCAATAGTAACAAAGGGAATATGACGGATCAAAAAACACTTGTATGAAAATTTTTGGCGGAAAAGCTAATATCTGGAGAGTTTTGTAAGTTGGTCCGCTTTCGGAATTAGTACAAGTTTACTTTTGGGGGTGAATCGGATAAGACCAGGCAGAATCCAGATGAAAATGAAGGTTCTTAAATTTGCGTAAACTAAATACATGTTCCCTCTGTCTGAATGATGAAGAATTGTTCGTTTATATAACAACTACAACTAATTTAATTATAATTAATTACCACATGAACGAACAACTCAAAAGAACGCTACCTAGTTCCAAAGAAGAATAACTTAAGAGAACGACTATACGTTCTAAGGGCCTAATAATATATAATATGAAGGTATGACATTTTAAAAATATAATCACCACCAAGTCATGCAGCTAGTGCCGACTTCCTTTTTATTTTGTCTTCTAGAGACACATCACGTCTTACTTGAATGTCGGTATTGTTGCGACTACGAGCGCTACTTAACAGAAGATAAGATTGCTTTTCTGACCCTAGGATTACCTTGAGGGGTCTAAATGGTCGGGGTTCGGCATTGTCGTCGATCCTCTTACATATTCTCATCAATTTTTTGACCCGAACTCTTTTAGAGTTATCTGTTAAGATGCTATGGATAAGTTTTCCGAGCTTTTCCAAACCATGGGCATGTCTAATTTTGGGATCAGGATCGTTTGACTCTAGCAAATTACTCACAATAATATTCGATGAGAATAAATTTTTCTCAGGCACGCCAGGGTCGAGTTCTGTCTTACTAACAGACTTTGGTAGTGTATTTTGTGAGTCAGAATAAAAGTTCACTGATGACTTGCCAACCAAGTGTCTACTGCTTGTAGCTTTTAATACTTTCACTTCTTTTTCTCTGTGCTGACGTCCGTTTCTCACCACTCAGAACAGCCATACTGGGACTATTAGGAACGTTGACCATTTTATTCGTATCTTCAGTTTTTACTGAAGATCCATGACTACCCATGTTAATATCAAATGACACTTCGCCCCTCGTTAATCTTAACGGAAATTTTACTTTTCCGTCAATCACAGTCGGGTATTTAACGCGTCTTGTAACAACACGTACTACATTGACACATTATTTACTGTCAGTACTTGTGTTACCAGCGCAACTACCATCATTCTTCTTACATTCCAAAGCTAATAGGCTCATAGCATGTTAGGCCGAAGCGTTCTCAATCGAATATACGCATTTGTCGCTGAAGGCCAACAATTCAAAATTGGCTGGGAAGAAAAAGCATAGTCTGTTCATTGTTATTCACATCGTGTATTACAATGGAGATCTTGATTGCGGAAGCCTATAGTTATCGTATAATTACCTTATAATATTTAGGATAAACGTACTAGTTAATGACAGTAGTAATCGAGGAACACGGCGTGAAACATGTTGCTTTTGGACATTAGTGTAGGACACACATTGGGAAAATCATCAAACTACACATCGATTCATGCCCTACCTTGGAATCCTGAAGAGAACTGGAAAGGCCGAAGACCGAGGGATACACAGCAGCCTGCGGACATCAAAAGGATTAATAGAAACTGGAGACAAGTGGGAAGGATTTTTGAATGATGACGCTCGACCTATTTTCCTCTATGAGGGTTAATGGGCTTAAGTAAATAAGACGAAGACAACATTTGATTTGATGCTCCCGGTCGAGAAAGGTTCTGACTTCAGCTGTCCATATTGTAGATCACTATTGCAGGTGGTATATTTCGAATGATTGGGAACCTACTCGAGTTAGACGGGAATTGTGTGAACAGTCAGCTAACGTCGAAGTCACACCTCGCGGTTAGTGCCTAGCCTAGATTACCCTTTCGTCGTAACAAGGTACTATGGCTGCTTTGATGACCATGCAACACAAACGACTTTATTACAGAAATATGTTGGTGAGATCAGGTACAAGAAAAAGAGTGTAACTTTTTTGCTTGTAGGTATCCCTCGTTCTACTGATAAAAAACTAGGCTAGCAATGAATAGGTCTTCATTTTAGCTCGCGGGTGGCACACAGTGGAGCAGGAAGATATCTGTTCAAACTCACAAAGCTTTTCGATATTCAATATAAGATAATAAAGAATATAATGCCTTTAAAAAATAAGGACGTGAATGAATATTTCATCTCCACCTTTTTGGCATATACTTAGTTGTTTAATGTCAACCCTTAATTAGTCAACTTAGATTGCTACATGACTACTGCTGCATGGGCCAATTCACGACATACAAGTAACTGATGTGCGTCGGTCGCCCTTGTCCTTGAAGAGGATCGGTGAACTGGTCGACATTGAGTGATTCAACTGCGGGATGACTTGGCTAGGGCTCAGTGATATTGCATTGACCGTATAACATCTTTAGTATTAATCGTTGTTGCCGGGAAAACCCAAAACAACCCTAGTGAATCATCATTAGATACTCTCAATTTTCATTAAATTATTATGCCTCCAATTACTGTCAACTAGAATACTATATTCAAGGAGGGGTATGATACATATTTTAAGCAATAATAGTCTATTTTCAGTGTCAGTTGTAGCAGTGAATAAATCCCCGAAATAAATAGCTCTGTAAGTCTTCTAGATTGGATGCTGACCACATTAGTTTAAATGGACTTGTAGAATTATGGACTACTATGATATTAGTACTGCTCTAATAATAGACCTAATCCTAAATTTGTAGATATATCATGATATAACTGCCTAATCTATAAGATCTTACGTGAAAGTCACACCATCGACTACACCAACTCACTGTATCGTATCAATTACCAATACATGATGTAGAACAAGGTTAGGCTAGAGAAAGAACAATATATTTAATATGAATAGAAGATATAAGGTAACATTCGCCAGAGACCACGCCTGCATGGCCGATCCATGCCACTCGATCAACTCCAGTCCGTTCAATTCATTGTTCGCGCCTTCTCCATCGTTAGGTATTTCCCCGAGTTAAATATTGAATATCTATTTTCTGAGTAGTCTCGTGTTCACAGCTTTGTGGATTGTGTGGCTATTGTCCAATGCCACTACAGACTCACCCAGCTGAAGGCGCTCGGTCATGCATCCGCACCAGATCACGAGTGTGAACGCCGTGCTCAAGAACCCCTGCAATCGCCAGTCACATTAGATCAGACGATCCTCGATATATTGACAGCCTATCAAATATATCTTCTAACCTCCTCGCTTCTGTCTTTTGATTTTACATGTTGGGTACGATTCATATTAGGTGTTACTGGTTAAAGCGTAATCAAACTTCGAATACCTGTGGCATCTTCATAGCGAAATTTATTATTATGGATCTGATTAGCTTACTGGCTTTGGATACTTAGGATGCGCCAACTTTTTCACACCTTTCGCCCCCTTATGCAAGTGAATTGACAAGAAGGTATTCTGAATTCGACGGACCTGTACAGTGCCAGTCTACAAATGCCTCAAGAGGGATGCATTATTGATGAAACAATGGCTGGGCAATGGCCGGGAGTAACAGCTAGTAGTGGAGGAACGTCGGTCTTCCAGGGCTACTAAGTAGTGGAGCATCTCACGTAGGGTACTTCAGAATATGTTCACTGCTCTCTGTTGTTCGTCCACAGTCACAAGTGCTCGTCGAAAGTGACTAGGTGAATATCAATACCAAAATGCTTATTATTCTATGAGTTACTCCTAGCAAGTCATTTTGTGTGTAACCTGGAGAACTACCTAAAATGTTATTTTGATCTTGCTGATTTTCTACTCTGATGTTTCTTGTTCTTGACAACCTAATTGTAAAACAACTGATTCCACTTTTTCTTATTTGGTTCAATTTTATCATTTTATTGAATGTACAGATGCACACAATTTGGAATCAATGGAATCTGCCATCAGAAATATACTGCCTGAAGAGCTTGAAGGGCTACATATCACGAAATTAATTAGACTCGGTAAATGGGTTGGTGGAGAGACCCAATCAAGAGTACTTGGGAACTTCGACGAAAGCGATGAAATACTGAATAACTCATACAAAGCTCGTAATTCAAATATTTGTATCCAACCAGATTAGCCGCCTGAGGGTTGTATCAAATGGAAGAACGCCCTTATGGAGTTAAAACCTCGAAAGCCAAATAACTAAACGAACCTTACGATTAAGGGCATTGAAGTGGTCAGGTCTTGGAAGCCAATGCCAATTAAATCACGGTATCACTGTTGTCTCAGAAACGTGCCTCGTCGTAGATAGTCTGTCTTCCCATCATTGCAGGTTACATCTGTATTATAAATGATAGAGTTATAAGCCGCAAGAGAGGAAGCATGCTATTATAGGTTGGGGACCCCTTTCGTATAAAATCAGTCATATAAGACGTGCATGTCAGGTAGTGTGTTGTACAATTAAGTCTAGGAACGGTTTAGTGGCTATAAGAGGAATATACCGTGGTTTGTGTTGTCTTGCTGACGACTGCATTTTAAGACATATCTGTTCTTGTGGTGAGGCCGAATGTTGTCTCACCATTGGAGATTTCAATGCATTGCATATCAACTGCACGGAGCTTACAGATTCAGGTGGAGGTTTCGATAGAGACCTTCTATCAACCCTCATTTGGTGTGCACTAGTACAATGTATCGTAAAACCGACACACTTTGGTTTGGAGCATTATCCTTCATTTTTGGACATTGTCCTCACACGGCACTGTGAGGATTTCATCTACATTCAGCGCCTTCCAGGACTAGAGAATAATTACCACGTGGTGCTTTACTTTAAGTTTTGGACACACGGTATACAATATATATCTGCTCCAGCCCGCCCCCAATTCTGGAGAGCCAATATGCCGGCAATAGTAGACTGCTATTCCTATTGACTGGTCAGTTGGTGACGATGCATCGATCGAAGGCGAATGTGTTGTGACTTTGTGGCCCACTAGTTATCACGTAATCTATTCGCCAATCAAGATACGACTTATTCGCTCTTATACTGTACTAAACCAATGACGTCTGACTGGTCTGATCAGAGTAGCGTCTTATTGATACGTTGCTTGTCTAGCTTGTCCAGCTGAGTCCAGAGTGCCAATAACAGCTGCCACTATGAGAGTCATTTATTTCAGACATACTGGGTTTATATACCAACCAAAGAGACTGCGACACAGCATAAAATAGGTAATAACATCCACAAATAAGTCAAAATTGGCTGAGAGCGTGGGAGATGGTAGTAAATCATACAAAACGAAGCTTATAATAGGGGGAAGATAGATATACATAATCTAACTACTGAATAGTTATACCATAAGGATATATAGATAATATTAGTCCATCAATAGGTCTCGTAGGTTACTCGTAATTTAATCTTTGCTGGGATATAACAGAATTGAATAAGTATAAGGCTGCATTCGAGTCCGTAACGTCGCCGTTTATTTCACGGTCAACATGTAGGCTATCAAATTGCTCTGTATGGTATAATAAAGAAACCCGAAAGCTGTTGAAGCGCAGGAAACACTCCTCGCACTTATTCTTTTCAACAGTACATGAATCATTTAGGCGTGAATGCCGAAAAACTTGGAATATATGTACAAAAACATAGGTAGATGCCGTGTTATTAACGACAGTTGACATATGATAACCTTATTTTTCCGAAGCGGTTGTTTCGTAGCGATGGTATTCACCAATCGCTGTTACACGGAAATTCAAATTTACTAGCTGAATCAGGTCTGACGAAATCTGAGACTTTATCAAATTGTTTTACCGAAGTCTACTCTACATGTATCGTTAAGAATACTTGTCCCTATCACACTGCAGATATACCAGCTATCAGACCTGTACATATGACTGAGGTAACTGTTCTTCTATTGATCACTGACCTCAAACCCTGCGAGATACTGGGCCCTGATGAATTACATCCACGACTGCTATGATCTCTTGTCAACATTATTTCAGAACCACACTCAATGCTCTCTGACATGTCCCTTTTACTCATTCAGATCTCTAGAGATTGGAAAGACGCTATCGTCAGTCCTATATTTAAAGATAGTCAGAGACAGATCGCATTTATATACCAACCCATCAGTCTAACCGGTATAGTCGTAGTCACATAGATTCGCACAATCTCTTAACTCCCGAGCAACATGGGTTTCGAAGCAATCATTCATGCTTGACTAACTTATTGCGAGAGATGATTGGACGGCAGCATTAGATGGCGATCTGCCTGTTGATATGATATTCATAGACTTTACCAAAACGTTTGACAAGGCTTCACACTTACGTTTTATGCAAAAGCTGTCGAGTTTCGGAATTACAGGTGCAGTACTGGAATAGATAGGAAACTTCTTATATGGCCGCAGATAGAGAGTGAGGGTCAGTGGGACGCAATCCAAATGGGAGCCGGTCAAATGTTGTGTAATCCAAGGTACCATCTGAAGTTCCTTGCTCCTCCTCCCATACGTCAATGAATTACCACTTTTGCCTAAGTCACCAACATTATTGTTTTCGGATAATGTCAAACTCTGAAAAACAACAAGAAGTGAGACTGATCATTTTGATCTTCAAGCTGACCTAGACGAATCAGTTAGATGGGTTCAAATTTGGGGGATGGAAGTTAATCCTAGGCAGAGTGTGTTCGTGCACATCGGACACGGCATTAGTTACCAGTATACTAATAATGGTACATCTTCGACGAGTTCAGAAACGTGAAGACTTAGGAGTAATAACAGGTCACGACTTGAAAACAACTAAGCATTGCAGCTCAACAGCCGACAACGAAATTCGTGAGTCTTGGTCACTTACCCTAGCATTCAGATGCGTTGATATGTCTCGAATTTCATATACCACCTACTTAAGACCACACCTAGCGTACTCCATCCAAGCATCTGGTCCGTGTCTGAATATGTATACAAACTGGCTTCAGCGTATTCAGCATGTTGGAACAAATTTAGTGAAGATTCTTTCTAAGATCCCCTAGTATGAGCGCTCAAAATACCTAAACCTTTTTCGGCGTGCCGTATTGTAGGACGCGAGGTGACCTTATATTGGCATTCCGTATCATTAATTACGATTTGGATGTTAAAATTTCCCATCTATTTGCTGCTTTCGACACTAATAATCCCTGAGTTCTTAGCAAGAAGGTTCACAAATCGCGATCTAATAAACCTAAAGTAGGTGTTAGTATTTTCTCATCTAGTGGTTAATTATTGGAACGCCTTACCCGAACAAGTGATATCAGCCACATCAGTGGATATTTTCAAGCAGAAGCTGGACCTTCGCTGGTAGGCAAACTGTCAGGATTAACACAGGTACACCAACCTACTCTCCTCATTACTGAAGACTGAAGACATGTCATTGTGAAAATGTTACTAGAAGCATTATTAAAGACTAAGGGAAGAAATTCATGCACTAAGGAAAAATTCAATCTTTATTTCCATGTATATGCTTGTCTGATTAAATAAACGTTATTCAGCGAAACATATTTGTTTTTCTAGCTTGTTTCAAAGCTTATAATTTCGAGTGGCAAATGAAAGGGAACGCTTTGTTCTATTGGTTTCTGTGGTTTCTTATTGTCAATGTCTTTGTCGATGAAGCACAAATAAACACTATTTCTTCAGTTAACAAAGTACTTCAAGCATTCGAAAGTGGATTTGAGCCGGAAGTTTATCAAAACATAGTGTGTTAAATTTACTTCATTTTCATAATTTTCAATGGACATTTTTAGACAGAAGTAATATCCTCTAAAGGCTACACATCTGAAGAACACTATGTTACCACCAAAGATGGTTTTATTTTGTGTATTATAAGGATTTTACCGAAATGTCACGTGGCTTCAGGTTTGTACTGTGGGTAAAACTATTTTATTCCTATTTCATTTAGGAAGACAAAAAGTTGTATTCCTTCAACATGGCCTTTTAGATTCTGCCCATACTTGGGTTAACAATTTGCCAGACGAAAGTTTAGGATTTATACTTGCTGATAATTGCTATGATGTGTGGCTTGGTAATAGTCGTGGGAGCACCTATTCATCAAATCATCAGTATTTAAAGCCTGATGAAAAAGAGTTCTGGGAGTTCTCTTGGGATGAAATGGGCAAATACGACCTGCCAGCAACACTGATGTACA